GCTAAAATGTAGCGAAAGTAGCGAAATTTTGGGCTTAAAAGTAGCGAAAGTAGCGAAATTTTGGCCTAAAAAAAAAGTAGCGAAATTTTTGGCTAAAAAGTAGCGAAATTTTGGGCTAAAAAGTAGCGAAAGTAGTGAAATTTTGGGCTAAAAGTAGCCCAATTTTGGGTTAAAATGTAGCGAAAGTAGCGAAATTTTGGGCTAAAAAGTAGCGAAAGTAGCGAAATTTTGGGCTAAAAGTAGCGAAAGTAGCCCAATTTTTTGCTACAAAGTAGCGAAATTTTGGGCTAAAAAGTAGCGAAAGTAGCGAAATTTTGGGCTAAAAGTAGCGAAAGTAGCCAAATTTTAGTCTAAAAAGTTGCAAAAGTAGCGAAATTTTGGGCTAAAAAGTAGCGAAAGTAGCGAAATTTTGGGCTAAAAGTAGCGAAAGTAGCCCAATTTTGGGCTAAAAGTAGCGAAAGTAGCCCAATTTTGGGCTAAAAAGTAGCGAAAGTAGCCCAATTTTGGGCTAAAAAGTAGCAAAAGTAGCCCAATTTTGGGCTAAAAAGTAGCGAAAGTAGCGAAATTTTGGGCTAAAAGTAGCGAAAGTAGCGAAATTTTGGGCTAAAAGTAGCGAAAGTAGCCCAATTTTGGGCTAAAATGTAGCAAAAGTAGCGAAATTTTGGGCTAAAAAGTAGAGAAAGTAGCCCAATTTTGGGCTACAAAGTAGCGAAAGTAGCCCAATTTTGGGCTAAAAAAAGCGAAAGTAGCCCAATTTTGGGCTAAAAAGAAGCGAAAGTAGCGAAATTTTGGGCTAAAAAGTAGCGAAGTAGCGAAATTTTGGGCTAAAAAGTAGCGAAATTTTGGGCTAAAAAGTAGCGAAAGTAGCAAAATTTTGGGTTAAAAAGTAGCGAAAGTAGGGAAATTTTGGGCTAAAAAGTAGGGAAAGTAGCCCAATTTTGGGCTAAAATGTAGCAAAAGTAGCGAAATTTTGTGCTACAAAAAAGCAAAAGTAGCCCAATTTTGGGCTAAAAGTAGCGAAAGTAGCCCAATTTTAGGCTACAAAAAAGCGAAAGTAGCCCAATTTTGGGCTAAAAAGTAGCGAAAGTAGCGAAATTTTGGGCTAAAAAGTAGCGAAATTAGCGAAATTTTGGGCTAAAAAGTAGCGAAAGTAGCCCAATTTTGGGCTAAAAAGTAGCAAAAGTAGCCCAATTTTGGGCTAAAAAGTAGCAAAAGTAGCCCATTTTTGGAAAAAAGTTTTTTGGGCTAAAAAGTAGCGAAAGTAGCGAAATTTTGGGCTAAAAAGTAGCGAAAGTAGCCCAATTTTGGGCTACAAAGTAGCAAAAGTAGCCCAATTTTGGGCTACAAAGTAGCGAAAGTAGCCCAATTTTCGGCTACAAAGTAGCGAAAGTAGCCCAAAAGTAGCGAAATTTTGGGCTAAAAAGTAGCGAAAGTAGCGAAATTTTGGGCTAAAATGTAGCGAAAGTAGCGAATTTTTGGGCTAAAAAGTAGCGAAAGTAGCCCAATTTTGGGCTACAAAGTAGCGAAGCGAAAAGTAGCGAAATTTTGGGCTAAAAAGTAGCGAAAGTAGCGAAATTTTGGGCTAAAAAGTAGCGAAAGTAGCGAAATTTTGGGCTAAAAAGTAGCGAAAGTAGCCCAATTTTGGGCTACAAAGTAGCGAAAGTAGCCCAATTTTGGGCTACAAAGTAGCGAAATTTTGGGCTAGCGAAATTTTGGGCTAAAAGTAGCGAAAGTAGCCAAATTTTAGTCTAAAAAGTTGCAAAAGTAGCGAAATTTTGGGCTACAAATTAGCGAAAGTAGCGAAATTTTGGGCTAAAAGTAGCGAAAGTAGCCCAATTTTGGGCTAAAAAGTAGCGAAAGTAGCCCAATTTTGGGCTACAAAGTAGCAAAAGTAGCCCAATTTTGGGCTAAAATGTAGCAAAAGTAGCGAAATTTTAGGCAAAAAGTAGCGAAAGTAGCCCAATTTTGGGCTACGAAAGTAGCCCAATTTTGGGCTAAAAAGTAGCGAAAGTAGCCCAATTTTGGGCTAAAAAGTAGCGAAAGTAGCGAAATTTTGGGCTAAAAAGTAGTGAAAGTAGCGAAATTTTGGGCTAAAAAGTAGCGAAAGTAGCGAAATTTTGGGCTAAAAAGTAGCGAAAGTAGCCCAATTTTGGGCTAAAAAGTAGCGAAAGTAGCCCAATTTTGGGCTAAAAAGTAGCGAAAGTTTGGGCTAAAAAGTAGCGAAAATAGCGAGGGCTAAAAAGTAGCGAAGCGAAATTTGGGCTAAAAAAAAGCGAAAGTAGCCCAATTTTGGGCTAAAAAGTAGCGAAAGTAGCCCAATTTTGGGCTAAAAAAAAGCGAAAGTAGCCCAATTTTGGGCTAAAAAGTAGCGAAAGTAGCGAAATTTTGGGCTAAAAAGTAGCGAAATTAGCGAAATTTTGGGCTAAAAAGTAGTTAGGTGAGGTGAGGTTAGGTTAGGGTAGCGGCCAAAAACATGCGATTTTCGCAGCTGGCGGGCAAAAACCGCGATTTTCGCCGCTACCGGCCAAAAATAGCGCGATTTTCGCCGCTGGCGGCCAAAAACCGTGCGATTTTCGCCGCTAGCGGCCAAAAATCGGGCGGTTTTTGCGGCTAACGGCCGAAAACCGCGCTATTTTCGACGCTAGCGGCCAGAAACCATGCGATTTTTGCAGCTGGCGGGCAAAAATCGCGCGAATTTCGCCGCTACCTGCCAAAAATCGACCGATTTTCGCCGCTAGCGGCCAAAAAAGGGGCTATTTTCGCCGCTAGCGGCCAAAAGTCGTGCAAATTTCGACGCTATCAGCCAAAAATCGTGCGAATTTCGCCGCTAGCGGCCAAAAATAGCGCGATTTTCGCCGCTAGCGCCAAGTAACTATGCTATTTTTGCAGCTGGCGTGCAAAAATAGCGCGATTTTCGCCGCTACCAGCCAAAAATCGACCGATTTTCGCCGCTAGCGGCCAAAAAAGGGGCTATTTTCGCTGCTAGCGGCCAAAAATGGGGCGATTTTCGGCGCTAGCGGCCAAAAATCATGCAAATTTTGACGCTAGCGGCCAAAAATCATGCTAATTTCGCCGCTAGCGGCCAAAAATCGCGCGGTTTTCGCCGCTAGCGGCCAGAAACTATACGATTTTTGCCGCTGGCGGGAAAAATTGTGCGATTTTCGCTGCTACCGGCCAAAAACCGCGCGATTTTCGCCTCTAGCGACCAAAAACCATGCGATTTTCGCAGCTGGCGGGCAAAAATCGCGATTTTCGCCGCTACCGGCCAAAAATAGCGCGATTTTCGCCGCTAGCGGCCAAAAACCGTGCGATTTTTGCCGCTAGCGGCCAGAAACTATGCGATTTTTGCAGCTGGCGGGCAAAAATAGCGCGATTTTCGCCGTTACCGGCCAAAAACCGCGCGATTTTCGCCGCTAGCGGCCAAAAACCGTGCGATTTTCGCCGCTAGCGGCCAAAAATAGGGCGGTTTTTGCGGCTACCGGCCGAAAATCGCGCTATTTTCGATGCTAGCAGCCAGAAACCATGCGATTTTTGCAGCTGGCGGGCAAAAATCGCGCGAATTTCGCCGCTACCAGCCAAAAATCGACCGATTTTCGCCGCTAGCGGCCAAAAAAGGAGCTATTTTCGCTGCTAGCGGCCAAAAATGGGGCGATTTTAGCCGCTAGCGGCCAAAAATCGTGCAAATTTCGACGCTAGCGGCCAAAAATCGTGTGAATTTTGCCGCTAGCGGCCAAAAATCGCGCGATTTTCGCCGCTAGCGGCCAGAAACTATGCGATTTTTGCAGCTGGCGGGCAAAAATAGCGATTTTCGCCGCTACCGGCCAAAAACCGCGCGATTTTCGCTGCTAGGAGCCAAAAACATGCGATTTTCGCAGCTGGCGGGCAAAAATCGCGATTTTCGCTGCTACCGGCCAAAAATAGCGCGATTTTCGCCGCTTGCGGCCAAAAACCGTGCGATTTTCGCAGCTGGCGGGAAAAATAGTGCGATTTTCGCCGCTACAGGCCAAAAACCGCGCGATTTTCGCCTCTAGCGGCCAAAAACCATGCGATTTTCGCAGCTGGCGGGCAAAAATCGCGATTTTCGCCGCTACCGGCCAAAAATAGCGCGATTTTCGCCGCTTGCGGCCAAAAACCGTGCGATTTTCGCCGGTAGCGGCCAAAAATCGGGCGATTTTTGCGGCTAACGGCCGAAAACCGCGCTATTTTCGACGCTAGCGGCCAGAAACCATGCGATTTTTGCAGCTGGCGGGCAAAAATCGCGCGAATTTCGCCGCTACCTGCCAAAAATCCACCGATTTTCGCCGCTAGCGGCCAAAAATGGGGCGATTTTCGCCACTAGCGGCCAAAAATCGTGCAAATTTCGCTGCTAGCGGCCAAAAATCGCGCGATTTTCGCCGCTAGCGGCCAAAAACATGCGATTTTCGCAGCTGGCGGGAAAATCGCGATTTTCGCCACTACCGGCCAAAAATAGCGCGATTTTCGCCGCTACCGGCCAAAAACCGTGCGATTTTCGCCGCTAGCGGCCAAAAATAGGCCGGTTTTTGCGGCTACCGGCCGAAAACCGCGCTATTTTTGAAAGTAGCCCAATTTTGGGCTAAAAAGTAGCTAAATTTAGGGCTAAAAAGTAGCGAAATTTTGGGCTAAAAGTAGTGAAAGTAGCCCAATTTTGGGCTAAAAAGTAGCAAAAGTAGCCCAATTTTGGTCTAAAAAGTAGAGAAATTTTGGGCTAAAAGTAGCGAAAGTAGCCCAATTTTGGGCTAAAAAGTAGCAAAAGTAGCGAAATTTTGGGCTAAAAAGTAGCGAAATTTTGGGCTAGAAAGTAGCGAAATTTTGGGCTACAAAGTAGCGAAAGTAGCCCAATTTTGGGCTAAAAAGTAGCGAAAGTAGCCCAATTTTGGGCTAAAAAGTAGCGAAAGTAGCGAAATTTTGGGCTACAAAGTAGCCAAATTTTGCAAAAATTTGCGAAGAAGAAGAAGACTATGTTTAATAAAATGCAAATATTCAGTTTAGTTTTATATTTGGTTAACAATCAGCCAATTACAAATCCTATTTACATATGAATAATTACCAGTCTACTCTGATTCACTTTAAATAACTGTTTTGCTTTGGCACTATACAATGTATTTACACTACATTTGTAGTTGTTTATTCTCATCTGCACAAATATTAACCATCTTCCTGTAGATAACCTATTATGAGCTACTGTTTGGCTCAATTTAATTTTGTGGAATACCACATATATAAATTATGAAAAAGTTGAACATATTACAATGGTAGAAAAATGGGAGGGAAAACAACCACAAGCCCAAACTAGTCACACACACCCTTTCTTAAATAACCATGCTTCACAATCTGGTCTAGAGTCAAATTACACACAAGGAACAAATAGCTCATAGTCAATATTTAAATTCAATTTTGTCATAACTGGTACATGGTCTTACCCTATGTAATATGATATCCATCTTCCACCATCAAGTTTGTCTTCCTCTAGACCAAATATTTCAAAACCACTAAACAATTATGTTGGTCATTACTGCCTCTGACCCATAACTTTGTCTTTGGCAATGATCTGATAAAATGCCTTTCACAGTTCAAAGTCTGGGTACCTTTCTGCACCAAAAGAACAAAGATAACCTTGTTAATTTACACCATTTGCCAACAGTGATTGCTGCCAAGGAAAATAGTCATATCTGACACTACAAAATACCTCACAACGTACATTATATTAGCAAAACGGTTTCAAAATATCAACTAGTTACGATGGTACATGCAATCAATACTACCACACTAACACCACGATCTCAAATGCCAATCAGTCTTGTACTGATACTCCAAATCCTTATTATGTTGTTAGTCCCAGTTATGGTTTTCAGCAAAACCACGTAGTACAAATCCTTTACATAAATCGGTTATTTTCAATAGACGTGTCACTTTCACACCATTGATACATAGGGGCTTGTTTATGTGGGAAGACATTAACACGAAACATTAATATTTTCCTTTGGATAAATGCGGAAGAAAGGAAAGACATGAGCGCAAACAATTGGTGCTCGACCAAACAGCTGCCACAAACACCTCAGTGTTACTCAAGTAAGGAAACATTGAGTATTCCGTCTTTGTAACACTGGTCATTTTGGATCACTATTTCAAGTAACAAAGGTTTCTTTACTTCTGGAGGTTTCAGGCATTTAAATAAACTTGGAACTACACTTAGGAATACTGTACATAGGTTCTTTAATTTAGAAGGCACTTAACCCATTTTGATACAAAATTCATCCAATGAAGATGAGAAAAGGCACATACATCATAACATGTCAATACTGTACATAATTCAATGCTTATCAAAACCTCCAGTTAAACAAGCCTTCCATGGCAGCTGACCAACATCATCTCTCTTTAACACATGGATGGGGGATAATGACATATGGGCTGCTGACTGGTCCCAGGTTCAGTTTAGGCAAATTGCTCAAAGACAGGTGGGCAAGTTTCTTCGCAAATGGCGTGGAACACCACCACTGCTTCTTCCTGGGTAAACTCTTGACCTATCTTGGGTGACGATAACTGGTGATGAGCATCGGCCATCAGTGGATACAGTGACAAGGCCAATGGTGAAACAACCAGCTAATGGTAGTCCTGTCACCAGCGCTTTTGTGCGATGAGGCGATCTTACGTGCTGTACAACTCGTCCACCCACTAGTACCTGCACACGAGCACAGAAACCACAAATTATAATAGTACTGTAGTTTCCAGATTGTCATTGCTCATGCACTATTTCTTTAGACAACTATTACACTGCAACTTATGAACGTTGATTACAACAAAAGTAATGGAAGTACTGTAATGTCACCTCAAATAGCCTGGGGGGCGAATTTCGCCGCTATCTGCCATAAACCGCGCGATTTTCGCCGCTAGCGGCCAGAAACTATGCGATTTTCGCAGCTGGCGGGCAAAAATCGCGATTTTCGCCGCTACCGGCCAAAAATAGCGCGATTGTCGCCGCTAGCGGCCAAAAACCGTGCGATTTTCGCCGCTAGCGGCCAAAAACCATGCGATTTTCGCCGCTAGCAGCCAAGAATCGAGCGATTTTTGCCGCTAACGGCCGAAAACTGCGCTATTTTCGACGCTAGCGGCCAGAAACCATGCGATTTTTGCAGCTGGCGGGCAAAAATCGCGCGAATTTCGCCGCTACCTGCCAAAAATCGACAGATTTTCGCCGCTAGCGGCCAAAAATGGGGCGATTTTCGCCGCTAGCGGCCAAAAATCGTGCAAATTTCGCCGCTAGCGGCCAAAAATCGTGCGAATTTCGCCGCTAGCGGCCAAAAATAGCGCGATTTTCGCCGCTAGCGGCCAGAAATTTCGCGATTTTCGCAGCTGGCGGGCAAAAATCGCGATTTTCGCCGCTACCGGCCAAAAACCCTGCGATTTTCGACGCTAACGACCAGAAACCATGCGATTTTTGCAGCTAGCGGGCAAAAATCGCGCGAATTTTGCCGCTACCTGCCAAAAATCGACCGACTTTCGCCGCTAGCGGCCAAAAAAGGGCCTATTTTCGCCGCTTGCGGCCAGAAACTATGCGATTTTTGCAGCTGTCGGGCAAAAAAAAAAAACGCGATTTTACCGCTACCGGCCAAAAACCGCGCGATTTTACCGCTACCGGCCAAAAACCGCGCGATTTTCGACGCTAGCGGCCAGAAACAATGCGATTTTCGCAGCTGACGGGCAAAAACCGCGTGATTTTCGCCGCTACCGGCCAAAAACCGCGTGATTTTCGCCGCTACCGGCCAAAAACCGCGTGATTTTCGCCGCTACCGGCCAAAAACCGCGTGATTTTCGCCGCTACCGGCCAAAAACCGCGTGATTTTCGCCGCTACCGGCCAAAAACCGCGTGATTTTCGCCGCTAGCGGCCAAAAATCGTGCAAATTTCGCCGCTAGCGGCCAAAAATCGTGCGAATTTCGCCGCTACCGGCCAAAAACCACGCGATTTTCGCCGCTACCGGCCAAAAACCGCGCGATTTTCGCCACTAGCGGCCAAAAACCGTGCGATTTTCGCCGCTAGCGGCCAAAAATCGGGCGATTTTTGCCACTAACGGCCGAAAACCGCGCTATTTTCGACGCTAGCGGCCAGAAACCATGCAATTTTTGCAGCTGGCGGCCAAAAATCGCGCGAATTTCGCCTCTAGCAGCCAAAAAAGGGGCTATTTTCGCCGCCAGCGGCCAAAAATGGGGCGATTTTCGCCGCTAGCGGTCAAAAACTATGCAATTTTTGCAGCTGGCGGGCAAAAACCATGCGATTTTCGCAGCTGGCGGGCAGAAACCGCGATTTTCGCCGCTAGCGGCCAAAAACCTTGCGATTTTCTGCCGCTAGCGGCCAAGAATCGGGCGATTTTTGCCGCTAACGGCCGAAAACCGCGCTATTTTCGACGCTAGCGGCCAGAAAACATGCGATTTTTGCAGCTGGCGGGCAAAAATCGCGCGAATTTCGCAGCTACCTGCTAAAAACCGCGCGATTTTTGCCGCTAGCGGCCAAAAACTATGCGATTTTTGCAGCTGGCGGGCAAAAATCGCGCGAATTTCGCCGCTACCTGCTAAAAACCGACCGATTTTCGCCGCTAGCAGCCAAAAATCGTGCAAATTTCGCCGCTACCTGCCAAAAATCGACCGATTTTTGCAGCTCGCGGCCAAAAACCGCGCGATTTTCGCCGCTAGCGGCCAGAAACTATGCGATTTTTGCCGCTAGCGGCCAAAAACCATGCGATTTTCGCAGCTGGCGGGCAGAAACCGCGATTTTCGCCGCTACCGGCCAAAAATAGTGCGATTTTCGCCGCTAGCGGCCAAAAACCGTGCTATTTTCTGCCGCTTGCCGCCAAGAATCGGGCGATTTTTGCCGCTAACAGCCGAAAACCGCGCTATTTTCGACGCTAGCGGCCAGAAAACATGTGATTTTTGCAGCTGGCGGGCAAAAATCGCGCGAATTTCGCCGCTACCTGCCAAAAAACGACAGATTTTCGCTGCTACCGGCCAAAAACCGCGCGATTTTTGCCGCTAGCGGCCAAAAACCATGCGATTTTCGCAGCTGTCGGGCAAAAATCGCGATTTTTGCCGCTACCGGCCAAAAATAGCGCGATTTTTGCCGCTAGCGGCCAAAAACGGTGCGATTTTTGCAGCTGGCGGGCAAAAATCGCGCGAATTTCGCCGCTACCTGCCAAAAAAGGGGCTATTTTCGCCGCTAGCGGCAAAAAATGGGGCGATTTTCGCCGCTAGCGGCCAAAAATCGCGCGAATTTCGCCGCTAGCGGCCAAAAATCGCGCGAATTTCGCCGCTAGCGGCCAAAAATCGCGCGAATTTCGCCACTAGCGGCCAGAAACTATGCGATTTTTGCAGCTGGCGGGCAAAAATATCGCGATTTTCGCCGCTACCGGCCAAAAACCGCGCGATTTTCGCCGCTAGAGGCCAAAAATCGTGCAAATTTCGCCACTAGCGGCCAAAAATCGTGCGAATTTCGCCGCTAGCGGGTAAGAATCGAGCGATTTTTGCCGCTAACGGCCGAAAACTGCGCTATTTTCGCACCTAGCGGCCAGAAACTATGCGATTTTTGCAGCTGGCGGGCAAAAATCGCGCGATTTAAGCCGCTACCAGCCAAAAATAGCGCGATTTTCGCCGCTAGCGGCCAAAAACCCTGCGATTTTTGCCGCTAGCGGCCAAAAACCCTGCGATTTTTGCCGCTAGCGGCCAAAAACCATGCGATTTTCGCCGCTAGCGGCCAAAAACCATGCGATTTTCGCAGCTGGCGGGCAAAAATCGCTTTTTTCGGCGCTACCGGCCAAAAATAGCGCGAATTTTGCCGCTAGCGGCCAAAAACCGCGCTATTTTCGCCGCTAGCGGCCGAAAACCGCGCTATTTTCGCCGCTAGCGGCCGAAAACCGCGCTATTTTCGCCGCTAGCGGCCGAAAACCGCGCTATTTTCGCCGCTAGCGGCCGAAAACCATGCAATTTTTGCAGCTGGAGGGCAAAAATCACGCGAATTTCGCAGCTACCTGCCAAAAATCGACCGATTTTCACCTCTAGCGGCCAAAAAAGGGGTTATTTTCGCCGCCAGCTTCCAAAAATGGGGCGATTTTCGCCGTTAGCGGCCAAAAATCGTGCGAATTTCGCCGCTAGCAGCCAAAAACCGCTTGATTTTCGCCGCTAGCGGCCAAAAATCGCGCGATTCTCGCCGCTAGCGGCCAGAAACTATGCGATTTTTGCAGCTGGCGGGCAAAAATATCGCGATTTTCGCCGCTAGCGGCCAAAAACCGTGCGATTTTCGCCGCTAGCGGCCATAAATCGGGCGATTTTTGCCGCTAATGGCCGAAAACTGCGCTATTTTCGACGCTAGCGGCCAGAAACCATGCGATTTTTGCCGCTGGCGGGCAAAAATCGCGCGAATTTCGCCGCTACCTGCCAAAAATCGACCGATTTTCGCCGCTAGCGGCCAAAAAAGGTGCTATTGTCGCCGCTAACGGCCAAAAATGGGGCGATTTTCAACGCTAGCGGCCAAAAATCGTGCAAATTTCGCCGCTAGCGGCCAAAAATCGTGCGAATTTCGCCGCTAGCGGCCAAAAATCGCGCGATTTTCGTCGCTAGCGGTCATAAACTGCGATTTTTGCAGCTGGCAGGCAAAAATTGCGATTTTCGCCGCTAGCGGCCAAAAACCGCGCGATTTTTGCCGCTAGCGGCCAAAAACCATGCGATTTTCGCAGCTGTCGGGCAAAAATCGCGATTTTTGCCGCTACCGGCCAAAAACAGCGCGATTTTTGCCGCTAGCGGCCAAAAACGGTGCGATTTTTGCAGCTGGCGGGCAAAAATCGCGCGAATTTCGCCGCTACCTGCCAAAAAAGGGGCTATTTTCGCCGCTAGCGGCCAAAAACGGTGCGATTTTCGCCGCTAGCGGCCAAAAATCGCGCGAATTTCGCCGCTAGCGGCCAAAAATCGCGCGAATTTCGCCACTAGCGGCCAGAAACTATGCGATTTTTGCAGCTGGCGGGCAAAAATATCGCGATTTTCGCCGCTACCGGCCAAAAACCGCGCGATTTTCGCCGCTAGAGGCCAAAAATCGTGCAAATTTCGCCGCTAGCGGCCAAAAATCGTGCGAATTTCGCCGCTAGCGGGTAAGAATCGAGCGATTTTTGCCGCTAACGGCCGAAAACGCCGCTAACGGCCAAAAATAGCGCGATTTTCGCCGCTTGCGGCCATTTCGCCGCTAGCGGATTTTTGCCGCTAACGGCCGAAAACTGCGCTATTTTCGCACCTAGCGGCCAGAAACTATGCGATTTTTGCAGCTGTCGGGCAAAAATAGCGCGATTTTACCGCTACCGGCCAAAAATAGCGCGATTTTCGCCGCTACCGGCCAAAAACAGCGCGATTTTCGCCGCTATCCGCCAAAAACCGTGCGATTTTTACAGCTGGCGGGCAAAAATCGCGCGATTTAAGCCGCTACCAGCCAAAAATACCGGGATTTTCGCCGCTAGCGGCCAAAAACCCTGCGATTTTTGCCGCTAGCGGCCAAAAACCCTGCGATTTTTGCCGCTAGCGGCCAAAAACCATGCGATTTTCGCCGCTAGCGGCCAAAAACCATGCGATTTTCGCAGCTGGCGGGCAAAAATGGGGCGATTTTCGCAGTTAGCGGACAAAAATTGTGCACATTTCGCCGCTAGCGGCCAAAAACCGTGCGAATTTCGCCGCTAGCGGCCAAAAATCGCACGATTCTCGCCGCTAGCGGCCAGAAACTATGCGATTTTTGCAGCTGGCGGGCAAAAATATCGCGACAGCTGGCGGGCAAAAATATCGCGATTTTCGCCGCTAGCGGCCAAAAACCGCACGATTCTCGCCGCTAGCGGCCATAAATCGGGCGATTTTTGCCGCTAATGGCCGAAAACCGCGCTATTTTCGACGCTAGCGGCCAGAAACCATGCGATTTTTGCCGCTGGCGGGCAAAAATCGCGCGAATTTCGCCGCTACCTGCCAAAAATCGACCGATTTTCGCCGCTAGCGGCCAAAAATGGTGCTATTGTCGCCGCTAACGGCCAAAAATGGGGCGATTTTCAACGCTAGCGGCCAAAAATCGTGCAAATTTCGCCGCTAGCGGCCAAAAATCGTGCGAATTTCGCCGCTAGCGGCCAAAAATCGCGCGATTTTCGTCGCTAGCGGTCATAAACTGCGATTTTTGCAGCTGGCGGGCAAAAATTGCGATTTTCGCCGCTAGCGGCCAAAAACCGCGCGATTTTCGACGCTAACGACCAGAAACCATGCGATTTTTGCAGCTAGCGGGCAAAAATCGCGCGAATTTTGCCGCTACCTGCCAAAAATCTACCGATTTTCGCCGCTAGCGGCCAAAAAAGGGGCTATTTTCGCCGCTAGCGGCCAGAAACTATGCGATTTTTGCAGCTGTCGGGCAAAAATAGCGCGATTTTACCGCTACCGGCCAAAAACCGCGCGATTTTCGCCGCTAGCGGCCAAAAACCGTGCGATTTTCGCCGCTAGCGGCCGAAAACCGCGCTATTTTCGACGCTAGCGGCCAGAAACCATTCGATTTTCGCAGCTGGCGGGCAAAAATCGCGTGGTTTTCGCCGCTACCGGCCAAAAACCGTGCGATTTTCACAGCTGGCGGGCAAAAATCGCGCGATTTAAGCCGCTACCAGCCAAAAATAGCGCGATTTTCGCCGTTACCGGCCAAAAAAACTGTGATTTTCGCTGCTAGCGGCCAAAAACCATGCGATTTTCGCAGCTGGCGGGCAAAAATCGCGATTTTCGCCGCTACCGGCCAAAAATAGCGCGATTTTCGCCGCTAGCGGCCAAAAACCATGCGATTTTCTGCCGCTAGCGGCAAAGAATCGGGCGATTTTTACCGCTAACGGCCGAAAACCGCGCTATTTTCGACGCTAGCGGCCAGAAACCATGCGATTTTTGCAGCTGGCGGGCAAAAATCGCGCGAATTTCGCCGCTACCTGCCAAAAATAGCGCGATTTTCGCCGCTAGCGGCCAAAAACCATGCGATTTTCGCCGCTAGCGGCCAAAAACCGTGCAAATTTCGCCGCTAGCGGCCAAAAATCGTGCGAATTTCGCCGCTAGCGGCCAAAAATAGCGCGATTTTCACCGCTAGCGGCCAGAAACTATGCGATTTTTGCAGCTGGCGGGCAAAAATAGCGATTTTCGCCCCTTTTTCCCCCCCCCCCCCAGACCTGGGTGAGACCTGCCCCAGAGCCCTACACCTTCAATACATTTGGTGTGAACCCCTAGTTTCTTGATTGCCCCATAACGACTTCTGTTTGGGCAGGATTATGACCCAGTGACGAGAGATCACTATATTCTCGTGGAACGAACTATCGCCTTGCGTTATACTTCCATCCACCGAAACATCAGTCTTACCATTTGTTCAAGCAATGATTACCAGTTGCATTGACTGCCTGTATTGACACCCCCCCCCCCTCACACCCATTAATACTGCTGTTGCAGTTGCAATTGTTAATTCTATTACATTGCAGTTCCCCTAGATTGGAAATATGCAAATGTCACCCCTATCTTCAAGGCAGAAAAAGCTCAGCAGACAACTACTGACCAATTAACCTCTCATCAGCAAGCTTATGGAGAGAATCCAAGCAGGGAGAATGTCACAGTGCACAATCTCTTATCAACCCATGGTTTTGTTAAATATATATCCTCCTCTACCAACCTGCTCACTTTTTGGACATTAATCAGCTAAGATAGAAAAACTTGTTGGAATCTACACGATATTTCAACCATGATGAAGCTATTTTCATTAATAAGTCAACTGCATATATACATACCTGAAAACCTGCTACACAGTCATGGTCTAATGGAGCCCATGCTATGACAACCCCGTCAACACCAACTCTGCGTGTAATATGGAGCTCCTGTGGTCGTGGTACACACGTCGCTTCTATATCTGAGCACGTGCTGCCCAGGGGAGATCGTTCTCGCCATTCAGGTGCAGAGGCACAATCCACAGCAGCATCCAGAGGTGTTGTACCAGTCTGTGAAAATAATAATTCACAGTAAATACTGTATACATCATAAATAACCAATTCTTCTGGAAATAACTACATAAAATGTTAATGTTAGTATTGTATGTCATAATATTTGCAATTAGGCAGTTTAACAGTTTACCCAAATTAAACTGAGCTTCATCCTCACTATCAAGCATATTTTCAATGTGATAATTGTTGGGAACTCCACCCACAGTCAAGAGAAACCTTGCTGCAGCATACAAGTAACCCATACCACATAGAAGTAACATATGTGGTACTGTATGTTACTTTTGTGTGCTTTCCAAGATAATACACAAAAGCAATTTGTTTGTTTATATGTAATGAAGATGGTTACATTGATGAAGGTTGTGTGTTTTATAATACAGTAATGTGTGTGTAGTGACAATGGTTAGTGATGGTGGTCATGATAAAGGTCATGGGAAGAGCATATGTGCCCCTCAGTTTCTGGCCTGAGCAATTATACTGGGAACTGAAGCAAGTGTGATGAATTGAGAGTACACAGTATGCTAAAACAACAAAGTTTCAAAACTCACTTTTTTCCATGTCTAATAATTTACAATATTGTGATTAATATTAAGCAATCTTCATTCAACTTGGAATTAACTTTTAATTATAAAATAACCAAATTTTTTTTTTATAGAAACTCTGACATTCAACACTTACCACCATGCGTTTAATCTTGCGAGCATCGGAGAGAGATCTTATTGGCCGTTCTCTTCTTGTCGAGTCCTACAACATTTATAATGGTCAATATACAATACACTATATATATAATAATATACACTAATATACAAACTTTTGAACTAACTTTACATAGGTAAAATTAGTACAATATAAAATCAGCATCTGATGACAAAGATAATGTCTCATTCTTATTAATCTATAACATTTATCATTTCACCGAGATTCAAAAATTCTCAAAAACTTTAATCCTCTTTATATCTTCAATCTATGTCATCATATACATCAGTTTATCATTAGAAAAAATATTTGAAAAGAAAAGGAAAATTGAAGTACATTAAGTAACAACAGAATTCTAACAAGCCAAAGAAAAGTTGAGTAGGCAACCCATTCTCAAATGGAGTAACCTTCATTAACTGCATACTATACTGAACCTAAGCATGAGTGGAACTTTAAAAAGTTTAACTAACACTAGCATATGCTGTACTGCAAAATAAGAGCTATACAGGTACATGTATATATTAACTACACAAACTTTGAGTCAATACAGAAAACTAAATGAAAAGACAGGAAAATAAACTGCATCTAGGAAATATAAATAAGCAACAGCATTATTACAGTGTGAAGAAAATAAGATGCAACATTAAGAAATGGTCAACCTTTGTGCCCGTGGGTTTTGCTGGAGTAGAGGTCGCCACGGGCTTGATTGTACAGGTAGCATATGATGGAACGGGCTTTACTTCATGCCTACGCACCGGTGCAGACTTGACTGTTTCCATGGGCTCTGATGCACGCTCTACTACCATTTGCTCATTAACTGGCATAATCTTTGCCAATGTCTTAGGATGTGAAACTGACTTTGCCATTTGCACAGAGATCATTGACAATTTATCACTTTGCATAGACTTAGGGGCTGCTTTTGCCTTGGCCATGGGTTTGGGTGCAGTAGCAGATTTTATGCTGTGCACAGTAGAGGGCAAAAATCGTGGTATACGAGACTTTCTTCTATGAGCCAATGAGGGAGAGCCTTGGAAGGTCACGTGACAAGAAGGCCCCAACCCATTATGAGAAGGAGCTAATGAGATGTCAGACTCGAGGGTCACGGGACAAGATGGCTCCATCCCATTCAAGATGGCACATTGAGACAAGGAAGCCATCTGGAGGGTAAGAAGAAAGAACTATGTCAATGTGTTACAGAACTAAAGTTCAGTGCATCATAGTCTCGGGAAAATAATTACAAGTTGCTTAAGCTTTGGAGAAAGATGTGGAAATTGAGTCTGCATTTTAATGAAACAATCTGTGCCACTGATAAAAAATACATGTTTTATATTTTACGTGAAAAATCGACAGACTAGGACCACTGAACCATATACAAGCTTTACAAGAAATTATTTGAAATTCAAATTATTGCAAGGGTACCATATAGAGAAATTTATATTTTAGACCATATATTCAAAAGATAATTAAATACTTAGAAGAACTGTTGCATGCTCAAGAAAAATTCACAAGCTACCAATTCTCAATTAAGCTTCTGATGAAAGTGCAGTTCTAATAGGTTAGTTGCTCAAAATGTTAAGTCAAAATAAGTTCCAACACCAAGTTACCCAAATACAGTACAGCCTCTATAATACTGATGTTCAGAATGCCATCAGAAAGGAAACAAATACCAGCGTACACTGACACAACCACGCATGATTGTGTCTTCATACTCTGAAATTTATTTGCATGTTCTGAATGTTGCAATGTTGAACACTGAAAGCTTGTACTGTAGTGACAGTTAGTGGAAGATATTTATGACAGACTCCTCAAGTATCGCGCGCACACTGCAGCCGGCACTGTAATATCATGCCCACACCGATACATAATATAAAACTTTTGGGATCATGCTCTTTTCAAACAAATATTATATTATATGCAATGATACAATACTAGAAATGTCATTTACTAACAACCCATGTTGAAAGTACTTTTATTAGTACTCTAGGATATATACATTGTGTTACTTTGTAAATATAAAACAGTCAACACTAATGTTATTGTTTCTTATTCTACTGTTGAACACCACACATACTACTAGCATGGACTCGTGTCTCCACCACAACAATCAAGCAGCCACCATCACAATATACCATAATGCACACATTTGAAAATATTGAAAACTACATTGAAATAAACTAGATTTTGTGCAAATCATGACAACATGATAGCTGTTCAATTTAAATGGTACATTATCATAAAGGACAGAACTGTAACCGCTTGATCTGTTGATAGAAACAGTTGTTCACCATCTCTCATCAAACCAACATCAACCTTCCAATAGGAGTGGCACTAATCCGCCTCAGATTATCACCATATTCCAATTGTTTTTCTTTTTAGATAGTCGTGTCCTGAAAATAAAGGTTAATTTAACCTCGGGGGATATTTCTGGTTTCTATTCACTAATAATATCTATCCTGTCTCATAAGGGTGTAATGTTCTATGAATCATCTTAACCTACATTAGAAATTTGTCATCTGCCGTCATACAATAGCATGAGACACAACATTAAAAATGTGCTCGTGCCTAGCATCATTAACCCTCTGGCTGCAGCACCCTCTCTGACATTTTGATCACATCGAATGTAGATGTGCAAGTTAAAAGTATTTTTTCACATTTTATATAATATTTAGTAAAATCTATGTTTCTTTCCATGTATACAATAATCAATAATTTTCTAAATTTCTAAGGAAACTATTACAGTATTCATTCTATAACATTTGTCTTGGAAACATTTATGACAGTACTGTATTCAGTACATACAGTACAGTATATATAATCTCATTATAACACTTGCCAACAAATTTCATGTACAGTATTTTGCTCAAACTATAAAATTAATTTAACTTTTCACTACATTCATTTGTTTTATACATTCTCAATAGAATTCTTTTTCTAACAAACAGGATGCTATTTTAATTTTATCATTATTATTATAGCTCCCAATAGTGAAAGTCCCAAAGAAAAAACTAACCAGCCATTTAAAAACAAGAATTCACTACACTTGTAAACCTCTTATATTATACTTTTATATATAAATACTGTACACACAGTATTGTGTGTACACAATACTGAAAACTACATTGAATACTTATCATTCAAGGTATACTGTACCTTGGAACACATTAATATCTTAAAAACAAAATACTGTACTGAATATACATTCCTGGAACAATGGGTATATATTTATTTAACCTCCCAAATCATGTCAAAGGCTGTACCCCTCTCAGCCAGTTTAAGAGTAGAACTAAGTACTACTTAATTAACTCCATGTAACCTACCTTACCCCAAAAATTTCAACCCTTGTCTTGCTATTTTAAACAATGCTGTTTGTTGACCATCTTGTACAATTGCCAATTTCTGCCATATTCCCCCATTTCTTTTTATTTTTTATTCCTTTTTTCAACACAATTTATACTTTAATCCCAATTAATAATAAGTCTTAGTCTAAGTATTTTTCCCCACCACACCGTGCCTGAAATGCTATGTGTATTAGTGGCTTTAGGTATTGTATGTACTAGTTATATCTATAAATCCAACATTATGTTTGTAACTCTTCATCTATGTATGTACTTTTCCCGAATAAAACATTTAATTTTAATTTAATCTTATTATTACAGTATTGTCTGCCTCATCAAACCTTTAAACAACCTAACTACAGTATTATTTGAAGTTATGCCTGAAATGCTTTGCATATGTGGCCTTAATAAATATATAAAATTATTAAACCTGTATAATATTCTTTTGTATATTTTTAAGTAAATAAGATTTATTATAAATTAAAAATGTAAAAATTGGAACAGTATAAGAATGGAAATGGGTGCACATCTGAGCTCAGGTATCCATTCTCTCAGAACACAAGGCAAAATTTCCATCTAGGCCACCTACGGGCTCACCATAGCCCGTGCTGCTTGGAACTTTGTTCCAGGTAGCAAATCTTTAACAACAACAACATCTAGGCCACCTGCTTTAGCTCCTTAAGCATTATTGTGTCGAATGATATTTGGTTCCGTCGCCAACAGGTAGTTTCCCGTAATGAGTCCTATCTCATGTTTCACCCTCATGTTCACTCAAATATTAAAGGATATGAAAATGTTAAGTACTTTAACTAAGATTGGCATTTGCATCCATGAACAAAAACATGCTGGGAGATCACATTCACTACTCACAGCTAAAGGGTTAACGAGAAAAACAAGGATTTGTTCAACAATAAAGCTTTTTCTGATTTACATTTTTGAATATGCATTATAATGCTTAATACTAGTACATACTGTAAATCTATAATACAGTATCTTTCTATATTTATGTAAGTTTATTGGTCAATATTTCTATACATTATTTTGCGAAAGAACATTTATTGCAGTAGTCTTAAGTTAAAGGGCATGCATAATTCAGAGCACCTTAATTAGTAGTTAAAAATTCAATGCTTCCCCTGCACCATGTTAATGAGAAATGTTATGAATTCAAAATTAACTAATTATGTTTCCTATGGACAACCTCGTTAAGATAACCTCATTTAAAATTAGTACATCTCTTTTGAGTGAACCCTACACCACAGAAGGAATTGTTATCTGTTCACAAGAACATAAAATACAACTATATTCTCCCATTTTACTTCTACAGGTTAAGGACTTAAAAAATTTAAAGCCAGCTGGTGACCAGTATTAAGAGGTTTTATGGATAAACATTAAAAAATTTCAATGTTAAATGTAAAAAACAAATTTACAACTATTTAAACATCCTAATAAAAACATTCTAAATCAAATTTCAAACCTGAAATCTAGATGGTTCAATTAAATAAATAAAAACAATAGTATCTGAACATACTGTAATAAAAAAATGCAAGAGGCCTATTGATCCATATGTAGCTCCCCAGAATGCAACCCCAGAACAAGCTGACTAAATCCTGGGTACCTATTTACTACTAGATGAACAGGTGCCTTCAGTGATAGGAAACACGTTCCATCATTTGTTCCGCCCGGAATTCGAACACAGAATTCCCGATTGCTAGTCAAGAAGGAACCTAACTATTTATATATCGCACTTCAATCCTGTCACCCTTAACACTTGCCATTCTAGAAAATTTGTCCGTTCTATAGACTCCAACCACTTTGACTAGACGGTAGAGTGACTGTCTCACTTCTTACAGGATGGTGTTCAATCCCTAACTGTCCAAGTGGTTTCACACCATTCCTTCCTGTACCATCCCAAATCCTTATCTTTGTATCCTTTCGAAGTTACACAAGGACTACTTATGTATGACGCTTATTACACCATTAATGTTATTAATGAAGTTATACAAGGGATACACTTATAATATATGAACTATAAGTGATATATAGTTGTAATGGCTTAGTGCTTTCTTCTGATAATTACCCTACTTCAATAGTACAGAGACCAAAACTAAATTGATTAATCCAAATGGAGCCTAACAAGAACAGGATAAAGCTGAAGATTAATATTAAAAAGTGTCTTGTTAACAGTTCTAGAAATAAATCCCAGCATTCTATTTGCCTTATTCCATTCATTTATGATTTTTTTATTTATGACCCCTATGAATGACTACTTGGTCATCCCTGAATTCAGATTTCAACATTCTAACATTGTCCAGTTGATATCTGGTAACTACTATTATTAGCCAAGCTCCTTATCCTACATTTTCCAGCATTAAACTGCATCTCAAAATCTTTTGTTTTTTGAAAGCCCATCTAGATCATTATATAGAGATTGCCTTCTGATAATTTCCCACCCTACTTTTGTATTGCCAGCAAATTTGCAAACACTGCTGTTCAATCCTGTCTAAACCACATATATATACACGTGTATATTCATAATAAACAAAGACTCGGGACCGAGTTTTTTGGAACAAACTGTACCATTAAAAACTGTCTCCCATCCAGACGTAATTCCAGTTATGTAACTGGCTTCTTAGAAATAACTAATCCCTAATCCAGAATGACAATTTTACTGCATTAAAAAATGTATGCTTGAAAACCTTTGTATATACAATAAATGCTTTATAGAATTTTGTATTTCCTAATATTGTAAATATATGAAAATAAAATGTGGATTATGCTGTAAATTTAAACATATGCCACCTTTTATGGCAATTCTATTTAAAGTGTAGTTTAATCATTTGAATGTTGATGAAGCATATAATTAAAATAAATATTTTACAATCTTACCTCACTTGGTTGGCTGAGAAACGAGCAGAGAGCATTAACATCAAAGTCTGGCACTGCAGGCAGTGGGCTAGCAGCAGCCATATGTTCGGGATCAGTATCACTCTTGCCTGCCGATTGGTCACTCGGGCCCACCTCACTCAGCCGGCGTAGTTGGTTAATTACTACACCCATATTGCCCGATCTATCACAAGAAATATGTAGATTAATTTTATAAAAACGATCATATTTCTACATTAAACAAAACAAAAATTGTGACCTAGATAAATTCTCTCTCCCAAAATGTCAACATTTATAATAAATCTGCCCCACCAACAAGGCTGTAAGCAGCAGCTTATTCTGCCATCTCTCAACATACATGACTTGTGGATTAAATTGGCTTCATTAACATTATCCATTTATCTTTGTAGTCCAAGTTCATTGTGTTGTTTTATTGTAAACATTTTTAACAACATTCATGCAAAAAGGCTTCTAATAATATATTTTTAAGATATATCAACAATAAAAACTGTTGTTGTTGTTAACTTCAATTCACAAGATGACACTGGTATAAACTACAGAGTATATTATTTGGATTCATTGTTTGTGGCAAGTGCAGTACCTGAGAATTGCACGTATCTGTAAGGCAAGCGTGGAGATGATAGAATCTTTGAGTTGGCCCCGACGAGCCAGATGTTCAACTTTCTCTGTCAGCTGCTCCACACGTCTTGTTAACTCCTCTAAGTCAACCTGCAGTGCACATGATTTTAATTATAGTTAACATTATGAAATGCTACAGCACTGATCATATCTACAACAAACTTTTATAAAAGTACATTGTGATTATCAGCTTCAAAATGTTATGACTGCAATTCCCATGGAATTAAAATGTTAAACTGGCTACAAAAACTACAAAAAATATGCTTGTACCTTATGTTTGGCCTGTAAGGAGAGCCGTGTACGCTCGGCATCCTCCATAGTGTGCACCAGTTGCTGCCGAAGACTGGCCAAGGTGGCATTCAGATGCTCCACATCTTCACACTATTAACATAAAAAATATTAAAGTCTGTTTTAACTACTACTACTACTATTTAATAGTAGACAAATTTTTGTCCTAATCTTTTCTTTTATTATAAGATGTAATACCTGTAGTATGAATTTCTTTCATGAACAAGGTACTCAATGTCCATAACTACATTCCCATTTAATACTTCGCTTTGATACATACACGCCTTCGTTCTTAAGATAAATTTATAGCAAGCCAGTGAGAACACCTTTTTCCTGAAGGCATCAGTAATAATACAAGTTCTATCAAATGCCTACAATTGTTTTCCCATTATCAGGGAGAGGAAGTCTTAATTAACTTACTGAGGTCCCTCTAGGCTAACAACTAATCTTCCCAAGAAGCCATTCAACAGTTGGTCAACTCCCAGGTACCTATTCAGCCCGTCCTCTTATAAATTATAAGGCTTTTCGCTCGTATGCATTAAGGCAAAAAATTGTCGTATTGGAATTTTAAAACAAAAATTGAAATTACTTTTCCAAATGAAATGGACCCAAAGCATCAATTTTTGGGTCCTCTGGTATGTTAGGAGAGCAGCAAGTTCTCCTAAGTTTTCAAAACATGAAAATTAAAATGTCCTCTCTTAACCTAATAGCCTAAGCCAGAGGACCCAAAACAGTAAACAGAACAGGATGTCACTTTTGCGAGCCGCTTTCATTTTCTAGTACAGCAATTTTAGCCTTGGTGCACATACGAGCGAAAAGCGATGTAATTAGTAAGAGGACGGGCTGAATAGGTACCTGGGAGTTGACCAACTGTTGAATGGCTTCTTGGGAAGATTAGTTGTTAGCCTAGAGGGACCTCAGTAAGTTTAATTAAGACTTCCTCTCCCTGATAATGGGAAAACAATTGTAGGCATTTGATAGAACTTGTATAGAACTATTTATGAACAGGTGAAGAAAGGAAATCAGATGGAAGTATACTTGAGCAAAATTCTCATCCTGCCCATGCATTGAACTATAGTCCAATCTGTTGTGAGCTGACTAGTAACTACTGCACTACTAATCACCCCATACCATTGGTCTACACTGCTACACACTGCACAATATGACTTGTCTACACTAAACCAATGATACAGGTTACCCTGTATCATTGGTTTGCACTCTTGCCATGTTTTCTCTACCAATCTTTGTAAGTGATTTAAATCTATTAGTCTATAAATTATAAATACTTTATTTTAAACTCCATATACACATATGTTAATCCGTACCATTTCTATAATAATGAATACTGCATTTATTTAAACTGATGCCACACACCATTTTGCAGTCTATGTATATCTCCTTACATCCTTATGTAAGGTATATCCGTACATCTCCTCCTTATCTATGTATATATCCTTACATTTCTGTTTTGTTCTTTAATGCAACCATCCAAAATCAGTCCTAAAATTTCACCCAAGACATTTTATTAAAAGAAAACTAGGAAATATATAAAGGACAAGGGCTAACCTGTACTTATAACCTTTACCTGTGAATTTATATATTCTTCTATTACACTGCATTTTGTTTATAGGTATGCTAATATTGCTCATATTTAGATTAATACACACATAACATAGGTGGATAGATAGTGTATACTAATTTTGACAGTACTGTACAAGTATGAAGCACAGTACGTGTCCAAGATTCACCCCACATTAATCTTTGAACATGCTATTTGACATCAGAATGCAAGAAAATTGCATAATGTTTCAGCACCAAGACAATATTAGAGATAGCTTACCTTCTGTGTGAGGATAACATCCCGAGATTGTAACTGACTGTTTAGTTCACAAGCTTCAATATCAGCCAGGCGGAGCTCCTCCTCCTTGCGACCAACAACCTCCTCCATCTCCCGTACCTTCTCCTCCAGCTCCTCCAGAATTGTTGAAGAGCTCTGAGTGCGCATTAGCCTTCTGCTATTGCGCTCCTCTAGTCGCCTTCTGCTTCTCCGGAGGGTATTTCTTTGAAATTTCCCTCCAGTGATGCAGTGGACAATTTCCCCGCTCAACTGTTCCCTTATCCCCTCCCCGGCGGGGTTGGGAGGGGGGGTCGTAGTGGCTTCGTTGGCCAAGTTTTCTGCTGTGTCTGTGTCATAAGAATCTACAAGAAAGAGACATTATCAGACTTTTGTTCCTGATGTTATTCTTAAAACGTACAAAAGAATGAGAACATTGGATTCATTGCTATACTTTTTTAGTCCCTAGCTGAGCCCATTATGTGCCTCTAACAATTTCCACTACTGCCCACACAATGGGTAATGGGATGCATAATAAATTAACTAAACTTAAACTTAACTCATTTTGTATATACTTTCCCTAGACATTATTATTTTTACAGTATTATTAATAGTTTTGGTTGGTTGTGTTCCAGGAAAGTGGTTTATGACCAAGTCCTCAATGCTTGATGAACAAGAATAAACAGATCAAGGCCAGTACCCAATCATCCCTCTCGGCCCATGGCTCAAACCTGAGCTGTTATCGCTCACATGATATGCTCTATGAAGGTTGTGTTTACTACATCAGGCACAATTGAAGACCAGATATACCACTTCAAATATTATGTAGTTTCTCATATGCTACTATAATGAGGGTGAGGGAAGGGAAGGTGGCAGGGGTGAACAGTCACAGTAAAACAACTCAGACCTGATACGTCTTCATCATCAGCATCAGAAGTAATGTCCGCCATGTTTGGATTGTTAGGCTGACCCTCTACAAGCTCAACCAGAGTGCCCAGCTGATTCGTTACTTCTGTCAGGGTTCCACTCTGAGTTGCATTACACGTTTCGCAATTCTGGAAATTTAAATGAGCTATTTAACATGTTTTTCTTTTTTCTGCACAGTATTGTATGTATACATGTATTCATTAAATTGTGATATGTACTATATTAGCATTTGCATTTAAATATACATCTCACTTTTTTCTCCGAGAACTATCTAGCCTTAAGAGTGCATCCATATGGTTCATCTTATAGTCTCAGTCTGAAATGGGAAGTTTGTTGATGTCTTACTACTGACCTTCCTCAGGATGCAGCCCACAACAGTTGCCCAACTTCCAGGTACTTATTTACTGATGGGTGAATAGAGGCATCCGGTGAATGGAAACTTGCCCAACTATTTTATTCACCTATGAGTAAATACTGTACGTACTTGGTAGTTAGGCAACTGCTGTGGGTTACATCATGGTAAAGGTAAGTCGCTGGCACAAGGAAACCGTACGTCTAATCGATTTCCTGTCACTGACAATGGAAAAACATACGGGACCTAGGAATCTCATTGGGCACAAGGTTTTTACTGCATTCCTAATACAGTACTCTCCTTTAAGATTGAGGTAATAAATTACTTATAAAGTACAAACTCGGTGTTCAATGAAATGAAACTCCGCTTTCTAAGGGGAGCCCCTTGGATGCTCCATGGAGCACGACAGGGAGCCACCGAGTGGCCCCCTCCTGCTATTTACATGTATGCTAATAAAACTACAGTAAACACACTATTTTTCCAAGTATATCTCCTTTCAAATTGCAAGCTATATATTACTCACTTTATGCAAAAAACTAAGTTTGACTTAGATTGTTTTACACCAGTTTGGTCCAGCCATTATTGAAACTACAGTACTAGCATTTGTATAAGTTGAACGAATTATGTTTAACTCATCTTTTATGTATGTACTTTTCCCTTAATAAACATTTTGATTTGAATAAAGTTTCCAATTCTGATTTGGATAATGATAATGTATATGCTATGCTGTCATTGTGACTTGTATAATACATGCACCGTGCTTTTTATGTAAGCTTCCAAAAATTATAAATGTACAACCATTTACATGAATAAAGCTTTGGATTTGACTGTACTGACCTTAAGAGCTGTAGTTAGAGTCGTGATGGAAGAATGAAGCGCAGCAATGGGTGATGCAGCCAGGGCATCCAGTTCACTAGCAGCATGTTCATGACTCAGCTGGTCCAGCTGATGCTCAAGTTCCTCCATATGGGAATCCCGAGACGATACCTAAATAAACACGAAGGACGTGATAAAATACTCGTGATTGGCCAGGAAGGATAGATCTAGCACTTTACATCACAAGGAATGAGATGCCTTCACAAGTCATGGTCTTCATATCTTCATCAAGGCCTCTTAACAATAATTACCAAAAAATCATTGTCACTACTCAGTTTCTCAGCACAGTACAGTGTGATTTTATGGGCTTTAGAGACGTGTGTACTTTTACATATGGTACATAATTTAAATTTTGCCAGAAATGCTGTGTATAATTAATAGTGTTATAAATTATACAAATACTGTGCCTAAGTGTGTGTATATAAATAAGGAAGGTCAAGAACACTATACCTGGAGGTTAAGTGCAAGTAGGTCATGCTCATGGCGTCTACTACTTTCTTCCAGTTGCTTGGCTAAACGCTCGCCTTCCGCTTCTGCAGCCACTATTCGGTCTCGTAATTCACAGTTCAGCCGGTCAAGTTCCATTAACTGGGAGTTACACAACTTCAACTGATTGCGAAGTTTTGTTACCTGAAAATTTTTCAGTTTTGAATACAGTATCAGGTACAAAGTGTCACATATCAGCATAAATGCTTGAATTTACAATGACAACATTCAGTGTTAATAACTACAGAACAGTATTTGTATTTAAGATTCTACAATAAGCTGAAATATTTAGTCTACAAAAGCATTAATTTCTGCATTCAAATTTGCAGACAGTATGAAATCCTAGATATGCATATAACACAAGAAAAGGGGCATTTGTGAAATCGTCACCAGCAATTCCATCTATCATCATACTATCATGCAAGAGGAGCCACACATCTATGGTTCATCCAATAAAATCAGAAGACTTCTAGATTCTACTGCTCGGCTTAGACTCAATTACAAGTATCTTTGGGAATTCTCATTATCTGCTGATGTAGACCTGACTAAATGTAAACTGTGTCAACAAAATTATTCGCACACCCTCCGTCACTATGTGATGGAGTGCGAAAAGATACGTGAATTCAGAGAATTCTATATCCAATGTCCCTACAATGTGTAAATATTTCATTCAAAATGATCTACCAGAAATTTTAGCCAAATATTCCCAGTTTGCTAAGTATAGGTAATTAAGTGATTGTAACCTATCCACTGCTGCCCACTGGATGAGGGGGGGGGACAGTGTGAAGGACAAACATATCAATTGTAAACTGTACTTGCTTCAAGTTGATTGTGACAATCAACAATCGACACAATGTTATTCAAATTTTCTCCTTGGGCCAATGCAGATAAGTGACTAGTTCTCACATGCAGCTTTCATGCGCAACCATTCTTACACTTAAAGTTACCATCTGCTGCTGCAACATTGGAGAAAGTACATCAATTGAACATGTTTAACAACTCACCTCTGAACGATGCTGCGTTTCATGGCTGATTGTCTCCGAGGATGATTCTTTTAACTCTCGCTCAGTGTCAGCTAAGCGGTTACGCAACTGTTCCAGCTGTTTTTTGTAGGACACCTCTGACTCCTTTGCACCATATTCCTTGGATGCTGCAGCTTCGAGTTGAGCCCTGTATGCCTGTACTTCTTCTTGGAGAGATTCCACCTGTCAATTGCACGATACAAATGAAAATGTACACAATTTTACCAGTAATTACATAATTTTATGTTAAGAGTAAATTGGAAGATTTGCTAAAATTCTTATCAATTTTACTGACCTGATCTCTAAGCTTTCTCTCTCTCTGAGCCAAAATAACATCTGCTTGCTGAAGGGTTTCTCGCAACATGTTTTCTGTAACTTCTAGTTCTTCTACACGAGCACGTAAGTAGCTTTCATTCTGCTGAATTTCGGACACTTTTCGGGCAGAGTCCTGAGCCTGAAATCAACACATTTCCAAGTAACGCATACCAAGCTCTAGTAATACTTAAGCATAAAGTACACTCCAAAAGCCTATTGACTCGTACAAGGAAATATATAGTACAGGTACTGTACTACATCTAGTTTACTTTTAGTTTATTTGTGTTCATTATACATTAACTTAAATGTACTCTAACATTAATGCTCACTTACTAGTTAGCTTATTGTTTAATTCATTCTTATTTACTTTACAAGTACCTTAGTTTATTAAAATCAATTCCGTGTTTCGCTCGACCTCAGAAATATAGTACTATACTGTAATATTCCGTGATAGTACAGTACAGTATTTGTAGCATTAGCTATAGGATTGAAATATGTATCAGTGACATCTTAAAGGTAATGGCATGCATACACATGCTTATACAAACACTCACTTGATTCAGTTCAAGAGATAAGGCATTATTCTCCGTTTCCAGAGACATGAGGCGATGAACTATTTCCTCCTGGTCACGTAGTTCTCCACGCAGTGCTTGATTGGCTTTCTCAGCTTCCATTAACTACAAGAAATATGTACTTAATATATATTAATATAAATTATTTAACTCAGAAGTCTATACCACATACTATGCAGGACTATATTAAAAATATATATAAAATTAATTCTGGCATACGTATCTTACTTTTATTTGAAGTTCCTTTTCACTCCTTTCAAGGTTCCATACACGCTCTTTAAGTTTTAGTTCAGAATTTTCAATTTCAATAAGGCGGTCTAAGAGGTCAGAAATGCGAGCGCCTTCACTAGTTCTTGCATTATTTCTTAAAGTGGTCCTTAAGCGCTCTTCAGAAACTTCCAACTGTTGAATTTTCAATGTCTGTTGATCTGCTGCCGCTTCTAGCTCTTCTATTCGTTGTTTGTACGATGTTACATGACTGGACATGATCTTGTCAGCTTCATGGATCGTCTCACGATATGCACACTCCTAGGAAATTGTATAAATATATCAATTATTCAATGTATACTTTTCATGAATTACACAAATAATTAAAAACAAAACTCAAATAACAGGCAGAGATATTTTGTACTGTACCTTTTTCTCAAGATCATAAATCTTTTGTCTGAGGTCAGTTTCTGATTTAACCAATTCTCTGATCTTCTTCAGCACGTCACCATCGGCCTCACTACACTTCATAGGCGACTTCCTTCCACAGGAATGTACATTCTCCATGTCTGAATCCATGTCAAGATCATTTGCAATGGAAATGCCAACCATCTCCAATTCCTGTCTGAAAGTTGAAAGCTGGAGCTCCAATTGCTGTACACGCTCCTCTCGTTGTTTGCCCTCCTTCTCCACCTCTTGCAATTGAGCATCATATTCTTTACGCAAGGCTTTCTTTTCCAACTCGTGTAGTTCATTGTAACGAGACATATCTCCCTTTAATTCTTCTATTCGTACAAGCAAGTTACGCCTAATTTCTTCTTTTTCATCCTGAGTCTCTTCTAGACGGAACAATAATTTACATTTATCACGAGTGGCTTCTTCCAGCTCAAATCTTATTTCATTTATTTCTCCTTCCAAGTCGCAGTGCTGCTGTATGGAATCCCTTCTCTCATTATCTTGACCCTGAAATTCAAAAACTGCCTTAAACATCTTTAAACATTAAATTATAATTACAGAACCGCACATCAGGCTTGTAACAGTCAAAACAAAGTACAAATATTTGAAACACTTATTACATATTTACTGCAAATGATATTACTTTATGATTTGTACTAATTTCTAATGACATACCTTCCTAAGATTAATTTTCTCCCTCTGCAGGGACTCTATCTGCTCCAGGTAGAACTGTTCACGTTCAGTAAGCGACTCCGCTTTCAGGGTCATTGTGGCCTGGCTCTTTGTGGAGATGTTTCTTGGTCGTTTATTCGCAGGCTCGTCATCATTCCTTTCTGCAGCTCGACGCTGACCATGCTCGTGCGACGGAATCTCATATTTTGCTGTAGACTCCTTTGGGAACTCGAAGTAACATTGATTGCCAGCATTTGCTGTTGGAGGCTCGAGACAGGTTTGAATACAGACATCACACACAACACGGGGGGACACAGGCACACCGTTGCTACTCTTCCGAGGGTAAATTTCAAATGTATCTAAAGTTCCTTCAGTGAGGGTTTTCGTGCGACATCTTTCAGGAAGCACATTCAATGTCTTGCTACTACTGTATTGGACGAGAGCAGCAGTCGATTGTGGCACCGTCTGTCTCCAATAATTGGCTATAATTAAACCATATGCTGCAAAGTTAAGCTGCATGGCCAAATCATCTCTGGCTTTGGACAGTGTAGCTGCCTTCTCTTCAGCCCTTCGACTTGCAGACTCTAACTTCTCAAGACGTCCCCGGTGGTCCTTCTCTAGGATCTGAAAAAAATAATGTTTAAAATCAACATGCCTAAAAAAATGTTAAATTGTAAATTGTTAAATGTTAAATTGTTAAATTGTTAAATAAATTTCAATTGCTACAATGATTTAAAAGTAGTTTCAAAACTAGTACAGAGTAATGCCGTCCAGTGTTTACAAATAAGCACGGTTTCCTGGACTATGAAACTGAAGACTGTACCCAACCTGTAAGTCTCTGACTCGCCGATGGAGCTCCCTGGAGATTTCCTGCTCCTGGGAGAGGGAGGCACTCAACAAGTTTTCCATTTCTCGTGCTGCCTCCATTTGTGACTCCAACCTATGGTCAGGGATGACTTTCATTAATATCACCGACTAATACATGACAAAACACCACCTTAGATTAGACAGACTTGTGTACCGTTACTACAGTATACATATATGTATGAAGCCCAAGGATACGTTAGTAGGGTAATGCAATTTCACCTTTGTTATCAATTAAAAAATTCCCATTAAACAGAATTTGTGTAAATTTTAAATTACGTAAAGCAACGTTTTATATTTTTGTGTAAAATACTGTAGGAGTATTTTATAAAAAATACTGAAAAATGTTGAGGATATACCCGAATAAAGGTGCATACGTACTGAACCAACAGTGTTGTTGCTGGAGACATGATACATTCTGACAAGTGTTTCAATGAGGTTATAAGATTTTTAAATATTTTGAAAGGTCTTGTATCAAGACCATCTTGATACAAGAACTCTAATCTATTTCAAATTATTAACACGATATTGTTTCTCATTGCAATCAAGAAATGGAAGTGCTGAGAAAGAAGATGAGGACTCAAGTTTGTATTTGACACTTACATAACCAGCCAACAGCACCTGCCGCGATTATACTGATATGCTCAGAGACCTGTACAGGTATGATCATCAGACATCATCACCAACCTGTCCTCTTACAAATTACGTCTGAATGGCCGAAAATGGACGTAATTTGAAAATTAAAAATAATTGAAAAACAAATTTGGATTTGTTTTCTTTTAAGTAGTTCTTCTAAGGTTCTCCTAACACTATGGAAAACCGTTAATTAAATGTTTCCTCTCCTAAGCTAACCGAGTAAGCCGGAGGACTCTGAAAACGGGACAGTACGTCACTTTCGTGAGCCGATTTCATTTCAAATTACGTCCATTTTTGGCCACAGCGCGCATACCAGCGAAAAGCGACGTCATTTTAAGAGGACGGTTTGATCAGTGACGTGCCACACCTCCGACACCATACGTAAAACACTACTTTTCATCCCTTATATTCATTAGGATAAGATAGGATAGGTTGGGTTAAGAGTATAGTGACGAAGTAAAGGAGGGGGAGGGGAGGTTATGTAGCTTCCTGAGGTCTTTGACGGTATTCTTTATATTTAGTACTTTCCAGTCAGGTACAACTTCAGGTAAATTCCTCAGCGCTTGATACCATCCTCTAGTGCATCTATAATGCTCTCCACAAGAGCTGAGAGCTCTATAAATCTTCAATCTCTCAGGTCTATTCTTGCAAGTTATCACCGAGACGACCTCGGAAGGAGTAGGCTATTCGCATGAAATTTATGTGGTAGAGGGAAGAGCCAGATATGTGGAGTATATCCAAGTGGGTTCTGAGAGCTGTTCTTCCCAAGCCTGGCCCCTTGACTTCCAATAACTTGTCCCAGCAGGCTGTTGCTTGAAGCGGCCTGCAGGTCCACATGCCCACTTCGACCCAGTTGGTCCCGTGCATTTTGCAGGAATATGTCAAAGTTTCTCTCGATTACTTCCACTTTATACTGGCAATATTTCTTATGTATACCAAGATATGTAGTAGCCATGGACCTCTAATGTTCATACAGTGTTCTCTGACCGTTTCTATGGCATCTCTACTCTTTACCGGGTCTATTCTGTTTCCTACCGCATCTTTCAAAAGATATGATAGGAAATGCAGAATAAATCTGGTGCAGAGTATAGGGGGAGGGGTAAAAATGGATGGGGGGGGGGAAGGAAGGAGTGATATGGGACATGGCAGATGCGTGTATGCTTAGGAGTGTCATACACGCACATATATGGGTATGACATGCCCGTGTTAACATGACCTGGAGTGCTACGTGTCAGCCACAAACTTGGCGTCCAAGTACTGGGTGCTGTGGCAGGTCTGAGTGGAATGTTTATATAAACATGTATATATAGGTCAATGTGCATATGACTTTTCTATATACAAGTTCACATGCAGAGCTGCATTTGATGGTTACGCACATGCCAGATTGCACGTTTGCAGAACGTGCTGTTGACAGATTTTGTCCCGAATTATTATATCAGTGATTATCACGCACGCACTAGTGCATGGGATACCTCTCCCTCCCTACCACCACCCCACACAAAACACCGATAAACCCATTACATACCAATTATTCTGATCGCCAGCAGCTTCTCCCCACCGGCCATTCCCTTAGCCCACCAAGACGCCAGGTCCTGCCGCGTTACTTTTACCGTGATTATACCAGTCAGTAATAACAAGGCTGTAATTACCAAGGCTGACCCATAATTACCCCGCTGGCCCCTGGGTTACTGCCGGGGGGGGGAGGGGGAAGTGTGTTATTAAGGAAAACAAAATAAGAGAACCCGGAAGCAGTGTTGACATAGACCACCACATTTATTATTCATAATAATATACCAATTCTAAAAGGAAAAAGATTATAGAACATTTCTTGAATTGCTACATGCAAGTTGCTTTATAAGGAATGCTGGAGTGTGTGATTTGTATGCGTGTGTTGTGTGTTGGTCCTACCCCCTAGTGTAATGTACCTTGGTTCCCCGCCCCTGTTGTCCAATATACCGCGGTGCCCTCCTGCCCTACTAGTGTGTAAACAAGGCATCGAGTCTCACAGTCTTTGCTGGGTGTCGAGGTATGTCATGGCGGTCCTACTGGGTGCCGTCTCCTTTAACAACTTGATCCCGTTCTTCCTCTGGGGAGGAGTCGGAAGTGGAGACTGGTGTGCGGGGGTGAGCCTGGAGTCCCTGAGGCCGGCCAGGTGCGCTGGCAGCGGCTGCTGACCCGGCCTGAAGGTCTGGTTGAGCAGTAAGTGGAGAGTGTGGAGGTCCATGGCGGGCACCCCACGATCACGAGCGTTGACCCTCACCTCTGTTTCCTTCGAAGCTGCTGCTGCTATAGGTGCTGCTGCTGCCACAGGTGCCGATATTCCAACGGTCCCGCCGCCCCAACACCCAGCCAGCCTTCCACACGCCTGCAGATCCCATCTCTGCTGTTCAAGGGAGGGTCGCGGGGGGTCGGCAAACACTTTGTTCTTTGGATATTTCCTAATTAGTATAATCTTTCAACTCGCCCTACAGCTTGTGTCAAACTTAGATCTAATAATCTTATCAAAATGCCACACAGCGTTAGGATATTCCTCAAGCCGTAGTCACAAACAGCTCCACTTTCCTGGAGTTTTTTTAACGTCGCTGAATACTGTAAATCTTCAACGACATTATTTTGAAGAGGCAAAACTTTCAATTTACACCGAGTGCTAGAAGTTGTGTGTTCAGTAAAGCGTTATGAACAGTCAGAGCACCGTGGCCATCGTCGTGTGTATACCCCGAGGCAGCGCGGGAGCCGAGGCAGTGTGGACCTCGGCTAGCAGACAGCAACTGCCAGGCCAACTGCTGCTGCTGCTGCTGCTGCTGCTGCTCAAGTCGCCTACACAACTACGTCTTCCGACAAGCAGTAAGGCTGGAAATCGAGGCGCGGAGGGAGACGTCTTGAGCCCTAGCGGTGCTTGGCCTGGGAGGGGTAGGGGGGGAATATTGCATGTGAGGAGTCACTGAAGGCGGTGCAAGGCAGGAAGGGCGAGCCCAACTGACCCTGTAATAACAACACCGACCTTGGTGTCCTGGCGTAAAGGAACGCCACTATATTGATTATACTTCTTAGAATATAGCCAGCAGATTCGAAGCGTAATTACGGACGGACTCCCACTAACGCGGTACGCGGGTGGGAGTAGGCTACCGAGCTACGCGTGCAGGTGCGGTGAAGGTTGTGGTTTAGAGAGTGGGTGGGTGAGGGGCCCCCACCTTGCATCACCCCCACTCACAGTAATGGGTGAGCATCTACCACACGCGGCTACCAGTCACGCCGCCCGCCACAACACGTCAACATGGATAACCGTGAGGGATCATCTCTCCACGAAATAATATATTGGGAGGGAAAAAATTGCGAGATAAGACTCTTATAAACAAGATCATTTATCACGCCTATGGCTACAGTTGTACTAGTCTTGTCTAGTTGTATTTCTAGATTATCTATCGTTGTTGGGTCCAGCCTCTCAATCTTTGACGAATATGTTGTTATAGATTCAGCTACTCTGAACAAGTTCCAAGTAGCACGGGCTATGGTGAGCCCGTAGTGGATTTACCTCACACAGAAGCGGGGTTATAACTGTGTTCAACTGATTGACACACAGAACGCTGCGACACTTTCTTCTGTTCACTGACTCCTTTAGTCTTTTTGGGGGGAGAGGTGTGTGGTGGGGGGAGGGGAGGCCTTTTGTGGTGTGGAAGGAGGAGGGGGAGGGGGGAGTCATGTTCTAAAATCAAGATGATGTATTGAATTAACCATCACAAACCAACGCAAGACAAAACCCTTACACCAGCCAACCATGAAATAAAACTACCATAACAAACATTAAATACAACAATGCAAAATCGAAAGAACATCGAGAATTCAAAATTATTGAGGAGAATTCGCAACAAATCCAAACACGGGCCTCCTGCCTCCGCCCAACGCCCCCGTGAGACACTGTACAAGCCACAACAACTCCCCTTGTATGAGGAACGCGAATCAAAATGACAAACAATACCAGATGTGCCCAGAGACCGAGGCCGTCAGGTTAACACAACCTACAGCAGGAGGAGAGACGACACGCAACATTCAACGACCCAACTTTAAACACACTTGAAACACACACACAAGCCCTCCACAGATCTCCAGTATCAGCTAATGATACCGGTAATGACTCCAAAGGGCCACCACTTACGGGGCTATTCATGCCCGTGCCACCTTTTGTGTGGCTTCATCTTCATCAATCATCAGCATTCAAGCGCCCCACCCCCAACGAACCATGATTGTGAACACAGTATAGCAAAGTCAAGAGACTTACTGTACGAGGACACTGACGAGGAACCTGTAGTATTCAACATGTGATAACACTCGCCCCCTGATTGCTACTTACAGTGTCTGTAGTTCGCAATACACAGCTGGAGGTAAACCTTACCCCCGTCCCTCCCCGCAGCTGGAGGTAAACCTTACCCCCGTCCCTCCCTGCAGCTGGAGGTAAACCTTACCCCCGTCCCTCCCCGCAGCTGGAGGTAAACCTTACCCCCGTCCCTCCCTGCAGCTGGAGGTGTTCCTTGCCCCCGTCCCTCCCTGCAGCTGGAGGTGTTCCTTGCCCCCGTCCCTCCCTGCAGCTGGAGGTGTTCCTTGCCCCGTCCCTCCCTGCAGCTGGAGGTGTTCCTTGCCCCGTCCCTCCCTGCAGCTGGAGGTGTTCCTTGCCCCGTCCCTCCCTGCAGCTGGAGGTGTTCCTTGCCCCGTCCCTCCCTGCAGCTGGAGGTGTTCCTTGCCCCCGTCCCTCCCGGCAGCTGTTCCTTACCCCCGTCCCGCCCTGCAGCTGGAGGTGTTCCTTGCCCCCGTCCCTCCCTGCAGCTGGAGGTGTTCCTTACCCCCGTCCCTCCCTGCAGCTGGAGGTGTTCCTTGCCCCGTCCCTCCCTGCAGCTGGAGGTGTTCCTTGCCCCGTCCCTCCCCGCAGCTGGAGGTAAACCTTGCCCCCGTCCCTCCCTGCAGCTGGAGGTAAACCTTACCCCCGTCCCTCCCCGCAGCTGGAGGTGTTCCTTGCCCCGTCCCTCCCTGCAGCTGGAGGTAAACCTTACCCCCGTCCCTCCCTGCAGCTGGGAGGTGTTCCTTGCCCCATGGAGACCAGAGCAAAACACTCACCTCTGCACCATAAGACGCGAGTCATTCTCCTCTTCCTCCAATTCACATTTTTCATCAAACACTTCCTGTCGCGCCCTCTCGGACACGGCCAGACGCTGCTTCAGGACGCGGATTTCCCCCTTCAGGGTCTCCTCTGCGTCTGTTCCTCGGCTGTGGAGCAAATTTGCAAAAAAAATATATTATCTTTTATAACTTCTTATCTATGCTTTAATATGAATCCCTTATATTTATTAGTACTTTTTCCAACAAATGGGCCTCACCCTGATCTGTATTTCCTCATTTGGTCCTTGATGGAGTCACACTCGAGCATTAGCTGATCCTTCTCACACTTGAGGTGTTCGATTTCCCCTTGGAGACACCGCTCGCCCTCCAAGATGCTGTCGTACTCCAGCTTGCTGAGACTCACCCGCTCCTCGTCCAGGGCAGCCCTCAGGTATTCGTCGCTCTCCTGAATCACAACGCAACAAGTTACTGGGGCATACATCACCTTCACTAATCCTCATCAATAAAGTGGCTTTGGTGGTACTGTCATTGATGGATTAATGTGTCAGCAAAATGACAAACTTGAAGAAACTAGAGTAATATTTGATATTAAAAACTGATATTAGTCAAATATTTCGTAACCAATGGTCTACGAAACACAGGATATTTATAATAAACCAATATTAAATACAATAAAAGGAATCATTAATCATCATGTAACAACTAGCTACACAACAGTACCAGTGTATGGAGCCACAGCTGCTACTCAAGGCTTCCAAAACAAAGACATAACCGGAAAGTGTGGGCCAAGCATTACCTGAAGGTCTTGGAGTCTGAGGTGCCTAAGGTCCCGGCCCTGTACCACAGCCCTTATGGCGGCCAGACGAGCCACAGCGCTCTCAAGGTCAACCTCGGCCCGCTCGATATCGCACTTGGATTTGCGGAGGTGAAGCTGGTGCTCGGACCCGGGCATCACCTGAGACTGGCCCAGCCAAGGACAGGTCAAACACATGCACAAGCCAACACTGCAAAGCTCATGTGTCTAGGAAAGCTTGAAGAGGGTATTTAATGCTCTGTTGAGCATGTGAAACTAGAATTAGCATCTGGGTGAACTGTAGTGGCAACAGTTAGCTGGAGAAATTACTAGTGAAATACTAAAGAGCTTAAGACTAGTGTTAAGAGAACAGAGTCAAGCTGAGCACTGTGTTGGGTCCGTTACTGAAGGTGGGTAGTGAAGAACAACACGCTCGGGCTCGCATACCTCCTCCTGCCATACTAACACACACACACACACACACACACACACACACACACACACACACACACACACACACACACACACACACATACTGGTGTGTGTGTGTGTGTGGTGTGTGTGTGTGTGTGTGTGTGTGTGTGTGTGTGTGTGTGTGTGTGTGTGTGTGTGTGTGTGTGTGTGTGTGTGTGTGTGTGTGTGTGTGTGTGTGTGTGTGTGTGTGTGTGTGTGTGTGTGTGTGTGTGTGTGTCACCCACTCACTCACAAGCGCGCGCGCACGCACACGTTTTGATTGTAAGGGAATTAACAAATCCAAATATACAAAGTGCGTGCTAACACATTCCTGCCTAAGAAAGCTACGCTAACAGCCACCACCCCCCAACCTCCCACCCATACCCCCACAAAGAGGGAGGGTGCCGGTGGCCGAGCGGACAGCACGCTGGACACGTGATCCTATGATCCCGGGTTCGATCCCGGGCGCCGGCGAGAAACGATGGGCAGAGTTTCTTTCACCCTATGCCCCTATTACCTAGCAGTAAATAGATACCTGGGAGTTAAGTCAGCTGTCACGGGCTGCTTCCTGTGTGTGTGTGTGGTGTGTGTGTGTGTGTGTGTGTGTGTGTGTGTGTGTGTGTGTGTGTGTGTGTGTGTGTGTGTGTGTGTGTGTGTGTGTGTGTGTGGTGTGTGTGGGAAAACAAGTAAGTTAGTAAACAGTTGATTGACAGTTAAGAGGCGGGCCGAAAGAGCAGAGCTCGACCCCCGCAAGCACAACTAAGTGAATACAACTAAGTGAATACAACTAGGTGAATACACCCCCCCACACACACACACACCCCCCACCATATCACAACCCACGCACTAACCCACCACCTCCCCCTCCCTAACTCACCACCGCCCACGCCCTAACACCCCCCCCCCCTTTCCCTCACCGATCTCACTACCTGCCAAGCTATAGTTGACAAGGGATGAGGTGATGCACGCAGCAGCATGCAGGCAATGACCAAAGAGGTTACAGGACTCACCAGGTCGGTCTGTGTGGTGACGTGGACCAGCTCACACGAGGTGTCGAAGATGCCAGACTCCTGGAAGCTGGTGGCAGCGTCCAGGGCGTTCACCATCTTCACGGCCCGATGCTCCTGTTGGGGGAGTGACAACTTCCTCAAGTCTAACACATCAACCACTCGCTCAACACCTCACACACACACACACACACACACACACACACACACACACACACACACACACACACACACACACACACACACACATTACGTTCAATGTGATATTTTATATCTTTCATATATGTGTCATATAGGATACAGCATTTAAGAACCACAGTACCTGGGGCGGGGAGGGACACAGTACCTGGACATGTTCGGGAGAGTCACTCTCGGCATCACTCAGGTCAGAGTGGATGGAGGGCGTCTTGCGGTGAACGAGTTCACTCTCGGTGCCCGAGGCCTCTGTGCGGGTCTCGTGGGCCTCGCCCAGGCTGGCCACCGCCTCCTGCAGCTCGCGGTTCTCCTCCGTCAGGTGCACCACCCGCTCCTGCAGCTGGCACAGGGTCGTGTCCAACAGACGCAGCTTCTGCAACCAATAACACCGCCACCACTGTGTCATCACCAGGATAAAGTACCACGCCACCACCACTATACACTCCACAAGGAGTGTATAGTGCTATATAGTCGTAATATATAGTATCCCCAGTGCTATATAGTCGTAATGGCTTGGCGCTTCCCTCTGAAAACTCCCTCCACAAGGCTAGGATACGAGCACAACCAACTAGGATAGACAACCCATCCTCCTAAAATGATAGTGCTTATGGCCCACTGTTTGATACAGAAAGTACACTGTTGGATACAAAAATTTAGCCCAAATGGTTACATGGAGACATAACTGAAGACCCTCGTCTGTTCAAAGCTACAAGTCTTAGGTCTAATATACACTATCTTAGGCTTAGTGTAGGACAATGTGCTGTACTAGGCCTAGGAATGTTCCAATTTTGTCTTGCATCTTAGACAATACAAAACATTGTTGATCACAACAGTTCATTTGTGTACATTGGACTAAATAGTTGCTGTAAGAACCTGGTAATGGGTACTTTTAAGGGGCTGTGTTGGGTGTGAGAACAGGATTGACCGGGCTGGGATGGGTGTGAAGGATAGATGAAATTGTTTATGTAATAATCTAAGATGAGGTCTGATAAAGACCTTTTGTGCCCTCTGTAATGGTTTTGCGCTACCGCTCACAGGATGAGTATGGGGTGCACAATAAACTAGCCGCCTTCGGCGGCAACAATCAATCAAAATGGGGGGGGGGGGGGAGAGGAGCTACGCCCAACCACACGAGGCACTCAGAGGCACACTTACAACCACTCACTCTGGTCTTGGTGAAGGGCTTGCTCGGAGGGTGGTAAACGAGGTGTAGTAGTTAGTGTGGCTTATCAACACTCGCTGGGAGAAGTGTTGTAACACGGCAACACTCTACACCAGTGTGTGCGTCTCGCCTCATAACCTGGCTCACATGGGGCAGGTGGGAGTAGTGGGGGGTGGTGGGCAAGGGGTTACCTTGTGATGGTTCACTTCACCAACGGCCCGGTCTCTGGCCAGGCCTCCCTGGTTGATGGTCTGCTCAACCAGAGTGTTGGGCGCGGCTGCTCCCAATCTGACGTATGAATCACAGCCTGGTTGATCTGGTATCCGTTGGTGGTGGTCATCGAATTTCTCTTTTGAACACAAAGGTCAGACAGTTAATTAATCCACTTATGTGTAGAGGGATTGTTGAAGTCTTTGCTTATTCATGTAGACAGTTCTCTCTCAGCGTACCTGTTGTGCCTCTGCTCTTCAACGGGGGTATTTTGCACATCCTGCCATGCCTTCTGGTCTTGTGTAGTGGTATTTCTGTGTGGAAATTTGGAACTTGTCCCTGTAATGTTTTTAATTGTTATAGATTCAGCTACTCTGAAGAAGTTCCAAGTAGCACGGGCTATGGTGAGCCCGTAGCGGACTTACCAGGCACTGGAGCGATGTCCCTGATGGACTGTTTTTAATTGTAGCTTATGTCTCTATCCCGCCTGCGCTCTAGAGTATGTGTGTGAATGAGTATGAATGATTATGGGGTGAGAGTGGGCGGTGGGTGAGAGAGAGTGGGCGGGGGTGAGACACACACACAGGCGGTACTCACCGTGATAGTGTCCAGCAGAACAGACTCCTGGGCGGCAGGGTCAGCCAGAGACTCCTGAAGGCGGGCAGCCAAGACGGTCAGGTCCCGCCCCAGGTCGCAGCCTAGTTCCTCCACGCCCATCCTGGTCTTGGGCGTAGCCAGAGTTGGGCTCATGGGCGAGTTACAGGCATGGTGGGTGTGGGTGGGCAGGGTGGCCACCCAGTCGAGAAGGGCAGCCAGGTGGTGGGCGGCTGAACACTCCTGCTCCCCGACGGCCTGGCACAGCTCGGCCAACCACGCTCGGCCTTCAGTCACCCGCGTCTGTCAAGACACAATGTGTCAACAATCCCCACACACACACACAATCCATGCACACAATCCACGCACTCAATCCACGTGGACGTCATGTGAGATGGGCTACTGTCACACCATCGTTACTAGGGCCAGACGCGCCCAAACACACACACACACACAATCCATGTCTTAAGAACATAAGAACAAAGGTAATTGCAGAAGGCCTATTGGCCCATACGAGGCAGCTCCTATCTATAACCCCCCAATCCCACTCATATACATGTCCAACCCGCAATATACCTTTACGAGTACCTCAACCATGTGATCTAATCAACCAGAACAATACAATTATCTACAGTATCTGAAATATATCCGGGGATATGAACGCTTGCTATGCCAGCAGCTGGTGCATGCAAGGAGGGCTTGCTACCTCTCACCAGCTGTGGGTGTAGGCGCCTCTACTCTCCTCGACATTGGCTAGGCCGTCAACATTTACCACAAAAACCTTAAGTTCATTAAAAACTAATTTGTTTACCTTTTCGTATAATGACCAAGACTCCACACACACATCAACCACTACTACCAGACAATTTGCCAATTTGGTAACAACTTTTCCATTCCAACAGCTGATATGTTTATTATATAAGTCACGTGGTTGTTCACCCCTCTGACAATAACTCTGCTCCCCAGCAGTGAAGGTCAGCAGAGGGTACGTACGTGTACACACACACACACACACACACACACACACACACACACACACACACACACACACACACACACACACACACACGAGGCCATTGACACCATAAAGTATCACGCTAAAATATACATCCCGATCGACTTATGGATTAGCGTAGTGACCGCCACCAGGCGCTGGCACTGTCCTCAACACTACCCTCACGGTTCTCGCACTTTCTTATAGTCAATATTGACTTATTTAATAAGTGCATGTGTGACATACAAATTTATTGTGAATATTTCACAATAAATTTATTGTGAATGTGTGGTGGGTGTGTTATTTATATATATATATATATATATATATATATATATATATATATATATATATATATATATATATATATATATATATATATATATATATATATATATATATATATATATATATATATATATATATATATATATATATATTATATATATTATATATTATATATATATATAAATAATCACACACACACACACACACTGACAGGATATGTGGAAGCTAGTCATATTTGCATTTCACCTTTGTAAATGCACATTAATGACACTATGGAAGAGATACATCGAACACTATGTAGAGCAGACGTAAATCTGTATCTATGTATTTATGTCTAGGTTAAATTAGCATTTTAAAAGCACTACAATCATCTTCTGTGACTGTTCAATAAACCCTTGAACTATATGTTTAACAGATCTCTCACCCTGTCCATGGAGGACAAGGAAATGTATATATGATGTTTAGCATTGTAAATGTGCGGCCACGTCTATGGTAGAAAAAAAATTGCTATCCTACCTCCCTCCTCACCTATTTATCTCTCCACCTATCTCGTCAGCTCCTACATACTTCCACAGTTCATATCTATCTCCTCCCCCCGTGTCCCGCCTACCTCATAACTACTAGCTTTCGTTCCATCCGATCTCGGCACTTTTTTTTTTTTTTTTTTTTATTATTTTACCACAGACGTGGCCAGACATTTACAATGCTAACCAGAATATATACATTTTCTTCTGTCCGCCATGGACAGGGTTAGAGAAGTGTTAAACATATAGTTCAAGGGTTTATTGAACACTCAACCACAGAAGGTGATTCGGTGCTTTTAAAATGCTAAGCTAATCTACATACGTAAATGCATAGATACACAGATTTACGTATGTCCTACATAAAGTGTTAGATGTGTCTTTTACATAGTGTCATTAATGTACATTCACAAAGGTGAAATGTAATTCTGATCAGCTTCCATATATACTTTATACCCATACATATACATACACACACACACATACATACATATACACACACACACACACACACACACACACACACATTCACACACATTTGTCTCATTTACCCTGACAGGGCACTAACAGGTATTCCCGCAGTATCCACAGTTCGGGTGAACCGGGTTATGTTGGAGCAGGAGTCCATTGTTACGTACACCACCTCCGCACTACAGTCCACCACAAGGATACACACACACCTCGCTGTTTACACACAAGTCTGCTTATTTAGCACTCTAGGCTCATAAACTAGGGTGAGAGTGAGGGCGGTCATCTACCATACACACACACATTAACAGTGTCTGGGTCGACTCCCTGCCGTCATAGGGAATACTATGATTTATTTATACAAGCTTCAGCAGAAAAATACAACATTTTGCCTTGTTAGCCCCAGTTAGATTATGCAGTTTAATCTTCGTTCTATACAATGGACAAATTCCCTTGAATGCGTATATGAGATGAAGTTAACCTCAGGAATTTGAAACTTTCTTATGAAGGTAGACTAGATATGATCAATTTACAATCTCTACAGAGACGAAGAGCAAGGGGGGCGACATGATTTACATATATACATGAAAAAGAATGTAAGAAAGAGGATATAAATAAGGTTTTAAATATATAAACAATAAAACACGAATAACAATGGATATTAACTGAAATATGTTAGATTTAATAAAGACCTGGCGTACAGTGTGATTTAGAAATAGAGTTGATTTATAGAAAAAAATTCAGGTAAAATAATAGACGCAAGATCGATGGAGTGTTTCAGGCGTAGGTTAGACATATATATGAATGCGTTTGGGTTGATGTAAATAGAAGCTGCCTCGTATGGACCAATAGGCCTATTTTGCAACAATAAATCCAACACTAAAAGCAACGGTAATCAAATCTAATCAACACCTGGAGACTGTGACGAAACAATCTATTACCTTATAATCGTTGGAGATATCCAGTCCGGAGTCTATTGAGAGCGGCAGCGACAAGTCCTCATTGGTGACTGCTAGACTGACGTCATCCAGTTCAGTGGCTGTTGATTGGTCGCAAGTCTCCACCGGTGGTACATCCACTTCCGATCCCTGTAGACACCCCAAGTGGCCATTAGTATACAACAACACACAGAGTAAAGACTTTCTTTGTGACGAAGAAAGGTGTAAGAGGGTGTGGTCTTACAGGTGAGTGACAGGTGTGGGTAAAAGTGACAAAACTGTCACTCATATTGGACAAAGTCCGCCGCGGCGACCACGTTGTTGGTCAGTCACTTCCACACAGTACACAGGATGTACACCTTAAGTACACCATACCCAGCAGATAGGCTAGATACAAATTTAGGGCTATCATCAAATTTGCATATTTCTAATACTAAACATTAAAGAACATTTGTAAGTTTTACTGACAGTTTCAACTTGTCTGCACGAAGGCCAGACCTCCGTGATTATCAATAAGTGCGAGTCAGCACGTGCACTATAATGCACGTGACGACATTACGTGCACCTCCTATAATGAGGGAAGCCGCTATCACCCGTTCCTGTATCACCCAGGACTCCTTGCTACTGTAATATATGGACACTCGCTCCCTCATACCACCACCTTAATAATTACTCAAATGAACCGAGCTCTGCGTCGACACCTTAAGGGAGTAGGGAGTTCTGTAATAATAGGTATTTGTATGGTCAGCATAGTAATCGGACCAGGCAATGTGATGTAGTAATTGCGCGAATTCGCCTTGGCTATAGACACATCTGGCAGGTTAGTGAGGCTGAGCCACTACCAGAATATTCAGATTGTAAACTCTGTGATAAACCTTTAATGCATTCACTAGAACACTATATTGATGAATGTGAAACCGTAAAGGACTTTAGACCTCCTGGCCTATTGTACCACCAACTGTGTAACTATTTTATTGACTCAGGTGTTCTGGACGACATCCTAACAATTTACCCAAAATTTGCTTGTCCATTTTAAAGAATGAAGAACAATTTCTATTTATATTCTAAGCTGTATCACTTATGAACCCATCCCTGCCCTTGTGTGGCAGTGCACAATAGAAAGTTGTTTTCACATATCCACACATTAAAACATTGATTGTAACCGTGATATATATGTGCTTCAGCCTACAGTTTAGACCTATTGTCTTATGTATGACCCTCTGTCCTGCGTGACAGTGAATACTAGCATTATCCTCAATTTAATAAGACTATCAAAATCCTCAGATTAGGCAAAATTGTAATTAATTTTGTCAATAAAGATGTTAATAATAATAAGGGAGGGAGAGGGTGTGAGAGACGGAGAGAAAATTACCTACTATGATCTTTTGTAGAAGTCACCAAATAAAAAATGACGCTGCCACCACTCTTGAGTTTTAAACTGCGGGTGTTTAAACCCACCACCAACACCTGTTTGAAAGCACGTCCAGGCAAAACAATAATGGAGGCCACGCTAACAACGTCCCCCCCCCCACACACAAAACAATAGTGGTGTCCTTGGTTGTGGTGACAACCAGCCCTCGCCACGCAACAACGACAGGTGTATAACGTCAGGTGTGTACCGTGTTGGAGAGTGAGGGCAGTGTCCACATGTGTCACACCACTGGGCAACGTGGCCGGCCGAGCGGACAGCACGCTGGATACATAAATGCAAACAAAGCCGTCATTATTAGGTCAAGATGTACATGTTTCAAGACGTATAAATGAATCCTGGGGCCGGGAAATCTACTATCACGGTCCACGCACACAAAGCTGCACAGGGAAACAAATGAAGGCACACAGGACAACCTGTCCTCTTAAAAAGAACGTCGCTTTTGGCCGTTTGCCCGTATGGCCGAATTTGGACGTAATTTGAAAATGAAAAAAAAATTAAAATAAATTTGGGATTTCTTTTTTCAACAACAGTAAGTTAAGGGTCCTCTGATAGGTTAGGTGGGCAGGAAATTCTCATAAAGTTTCAAAACGTTATGAAAAACGTGAATTTAAAGTGTCCTCTTATAACCTCTGCGCGTAAGGCGGACGACTCAAATAGAAAACGGAACAGAACGTCACTTTTGTGAGTCGATTTCATTTCAAATTACGTCCAAATTTAGCCATATCGCGCATACCAGCCAAAAGTGACGTTCTTTTTAAGAGGACGGGTTGCACAGGAAGCCGGGAAAAAAAGATAACCCAGGGTGGGGGGGAAAAAAACCCAAGAGAAACATAACGAACAATAGAGAGCAAGACCTGATACATATACACAATTAACGGAAGTGACAGGAGAACGAGGTAAGAGACTTAGAGAGCAAGAGGGCTAAGACCTGGCAGGTTGCCCATCAGACAATGGTACATACCTGCCAAGTACTTCCCTTCACACCTGACCTGTGTTTCCTCGGGGTGAAGGGCCCCTCGACACGCTGACCTCTGACCCCCCCCCCCCACCAGGAGACGCATGAAGGGCATGGCAAGGTTGCCCTCACTGACAAAAACTCGCCCAAACTGCCACATGGGGAGCGGCTGCCTTCAACAAGCAGCTATCACATACTAAGAGTACTACCTCGTTGCCAAGCACGATAATTTTCTCCTCCACTCCACGTCAAGTCGAGCATCATAACCTGTTTTTTTCAAGTTGTTCTACACCCGCAGCCTGGCCTGTGGCCGGCCATCCCTGGCGATTGGCTGGTTTGTGAGGCTGTCTTTTCGTAGCCCGAAGGCCCACACAGCCAGGCTGACCATGTATTAACTTCTCTGGACAGTAAAATCAATCTATGCTACCTAGGACTTGAAATTATCATTGAACTATGATCACGGTGTGGGGTAAGCAGGGGTTATAAAGCCCCCAACCTCCTTCACCTCAAGGAGTGGTAGTGTGGTACATCACCACTGCTCTCGGGCTAGTGTATAGGAGAGTATACTAGACTTCTGGGTATCTTTATATACGCCAGGTCAAGGTGTTCCAGTGTTCCATGACCCTGATCTAGTGTATAGGAGAGTATACTAGACTTCTGGGTATCTTTATATACGCCAGGTTGTGTGTTCCAGTGTTCCATGACCCACCTGTAATGCAACAGTTACCTAACCCTGGTCATGGAGCAGCAAGGAACATATGAGAATAAACGTCATCTAAGAACGTCTAAATATATTTACGTGACGTAAAGCAGCCACTCGCCCCAAGCCGTCCACTCCCGTCGCTAGGGACATGTTCCCAACATGTTCCCATCTGTCGAGGACATCTCCTGCCCCCCCCTCTCCCCCCCCCCCACACACACACACAAGAAGGGAGAGGGGGGGACATAATAGGAACGTATAAAATACTCAGGGGAATCGACAAAGTGGAAATAGATAAAATGTTCACACGGAATAGTAACAGAACGAGGGGACATGGGTGGAAGCTGGAAACTCAGATGAGTCACAGAGATGTTAGGAAGTTTTCTTTTAGCGTGAAAGTAGTGGGAAAAATGGAATGTACTTAAGGAGTAGATTGTGGTAGCAAACTATTCATATTTTTAAAACTAGATATGATAGGGAAATAGGACAGGAGTCATTGTTGTAAACAAGCGATGGCTAGAAAGGCGGGATCCAAGAGTCAATGCTCGATCCTGCAAGCACAAATAGGTGAGTACACACACTTGTGGTAG